ACATTTAATGAGAAGAGAGGCAGCTGACCACTTTAAAATTAAGTGGTTCGGGTACTGTAGCGTAAGATTTGAAAAGAGAAGAGAGAAGAAGAAAATCAAGACAGAAAAGAGAAGAAAAGATAGCAGAGCAGCCTGCATTTTTTGTTCGATTTTTAGCTCGTTCACCGTTGGATCGGGCTGAAATTTTGACAGCAGCTTCTAGACACGTTGATCTTCATTCTGGACGGTCCGATCTAAGATTGGTGGTGTGAAAGCTAACCGTTTTGACAGAAAACAGGGCTGTTAGTTTTGTGAGTTTTTCTCAAATAATTCTCCTTTAATCTTGTTGTAATCTGAGAATAAGTTGTTCTTGATGATATATATGTTGTATACTTTAGTTGAATATGAGGAAGAATGATTGTGAACCCATTATTTGTTGATAGTGGAAGTTTTTAGGTGGACTACGGTCCTGTGGTTTTTCCCACATCGGGTTTTCCACGTTAAAAATCTTGGTGTTGATTTTGTAATTATTTACATTATTTTTCATCATTGTTTGATTCTGTTTTACTGTACAAAGAGGGAAAGAATTGAGACTTGTGAATTATAATTATATTTTACTGAATTGATCCAGGTAAATTGATGTCCGGTTGTTACGAGTTTTCCAATTGGTATTAACTGGTACAGAAAATAATAATAATAATAACTAAGTCTTGCTTTCTTCTCTGTGGGATACGCTCAGCTCCATGGATTCGCTTGCTTGGGGTCCAGGAAAAGAATATGTGGGGCAATGCATGGCCTTCGACATCGATCCTCGCTTGAGTTCAAAATATCTCCAGATGAACGGTGTTTTTATCACTGTTCTATCAAAAATCAAATATTTTATAATTGTTGAAACAATTTAAAAATAAAATAAAATAGTAAATGGATATTTTATATGTGATTAAAAGGTAAAAATATCAAAAAAATATAATAAAATCTTGTTAAAAATTTATTTAAAATTTCTAAGAAGAAAAAAATTGTATTGAATATTCATGAACAATAAATTATTAGCATTATTGGTTTTATATTAGATGCATAATAATGAAAAATATTATTACAATACAAATAAAAATTTATCATAATATTTAATAATAGTATTAAAATTGAAGAATAAGTAAATACGGTTAAAAATTTTCGGGGCGCCAAAAAAAAGCAAAAAAAGGAACAGGAAAGAGGTGAACTCCACTAGATTTATTTTATTTTATAATATGATAAAAAATAAAAATCAGTTAAAATTAATTAAATAGTAAAAAATTAAAATTAAACACAAAATTCTATAAAATTCCAACGCTAAACAATGGAATTAAGAAAAAAAACATATAAAAAAATCAAAACAAAAAATTAAAAATACCCTAGCACGGACTTGAGTAACCTAACTACGCTGGTCTAAGAGGGTGCTTGGCTATGCTGCTAGGTAGTGCTTTTTTAAAAAAATAATATTTTTTATTTTAAATATTTTTTTTTAAATTATATTAATATATTAATATCAAAAATAAATTTTTTAAATAAAATAATAATAAAAATAAAAATATTTAATATATTTTTAAATAAAAATATACTTTAAAAAATAACCTCTATCTTTTAAACACTCCTCATCCAGGATTGCAGGGTGTGATAAATAATTTTTTTTAGATATAGTAAACAACAATAATCTTTATCTTTGTGATCAGGGCAAAATTTATTGGCCTCCTCGAGTTTAATGGTATCTCAAGATCATCCTAAAACTTTTGATTTATACCAATCAAATACTCTGTTAATTTTTTTTCTTTTTTTTTATTAACGTGGGTATCCGGGCCAGCTTACGTGCACCACAACTAATCCCCACGGCCTACTGAACACCTTGCAAACCCAGCAGGCAAGTAAAGCAGCGCGGGGCTGACAGACATACAACTCCAAAGCTCGAATACATAGCAGCAGAAAGCGCAAGAAGCTTACCATCGCTGGGCCAATGACGTGGGTGTGAACCATGGCAGCGGAAGGTTAATTTTTGATTGATGTGTGTGTGTGTGTCTCCCTCTCCCTCTCTCTCTCTCTCTCTAATATATATATATATATATGCGCGCATGCAAGGGAAGGTCTAAAATTTGTTTGTGAGAGGGCATGAAGAAATGATCGATAAGAGGGGAGGGATTTAGGCGAAGAGATTAGTAAGCGGGAAGCCACTGGAGAAAAAAGATTAGAGGCATCCAAGTTGACCGTACCAAAGTTTAAATCGGTTAATTAACGAGACTGATAAGATTTTAATATTCCTGTTTTGTTAGGTATTAACCTAGAATTATATTTTTTATTTTTAATTAATTATTTTTAATATTTTTGAATCATTTTGATATCTTGAAATTAAAATTAAAATTTTAAAAATATTTTAATATAATTCTAAACAAAAAATACTTTAAAAACCAATCTTTACTGCGCAGACGATTAATGAAATGAAAAGGCTATATGAGATATTTACCTCAACTTGTTCGTGAATTTGGCTTGCAGCAACAGCAGAAAAAAAAAAAAAAACAACATAGAAGGAACGAAGAAAAATGGAATGATTATTAGCAATGACTGTTTTATAAATAATGATTAACAGCGAAAGAAGATCAAACTGTGAGATAATCTAAAAGAAGTCTGTGCACAGCATAGAATTACTGTGGAGGGTGATAACGCGAAGCGTGTTCTTGTAATCCTGTTCTTGAAACTGTGTCTAATGAAATGTGGAGAGGGTCCCCTCCAGATTCCTCAAGCAACACCAGCAGGTTCCCTGAACTGTTAAGAAATGCCCGGGGTATATGGTACCTAATATTATCAAGAAAAATCAATACAGTCCTTAGAGCCCGATTGTTTTAGTCTCTTCAGCAAAATCTTAAACACAGGTTCATGCATGAGCTGGTTTTTTGTTTTTTTGGCCCTTGAGGAAGTTTCCTGAAAAATATTACTCTTGAAAACGAATTTATTTGGACAGAACATGAAGAGATACTTACAATCTCTGTGAAGGCTGCCCTTTAGAAGTGAGAAATGAAAGCCAGTAACGTCCAATGCTTTGTCCGTTCACCCATGCTTCTCCTTTCCCCATCGTGCTTAGGTTTAAGACTACTGGGTCGTTACCCGTTGGTGCATCAAATTCAATCTACAAAATCATCATTTTATGCGAACAAATTGTTGATGAAATGAATCGAGTTTTAATTTGAACTAGAAAAAATATTAATCTGACTTGAAAAGGAATAATTTAGAGCTTGACTTGAATTAATGTAAATTTGAACTAGAAAAGATATTAATATGATTAAATCTAATTAAATTTAATAAATTTGATAAGATGGCTCGTGATCCGGTTAATTTAGCTGAATTCTATTCATTTCTGGCTAGATAAATGTTAATATTTTTTTAAAAAAGAATGAAAACGGCATAATTTTGATAAAAATAGCTGGTTAATAAAATGAATTTTTCTCGAGTCAAACCCAACTCGACCCGGCAACAATGCTACCCGCAACCTGTCACTAGGGGCTTTGCTTTGCATTTTGATGGAAAATTCATTAATATACCTTAAACCAAGAAAGTGGTTGATCCGTAGCTGAAACAACTCCACTCCACTCAATGTTGCCCAAATGTTCTCTCATGTAGATGCTCAAGCTCTCTCCAGATAGCCCTGCCTGTGCATTATTCAACGCAGAGTGGATATGTCACTCGCATGCTTGTTTATTCAGGTGAACTGGCTTGTTATGCTGTAAGAATAAGCATCAAACAGAAAAATAAATACCTGATATCCCCATTCATAATTATTGGTAAAATTATAGATCTCTTGTTGGGCACATCTAATTTCCACTCTCGTTAAGCCTGCATATCTTCTCTCCAGGAAAGCTCCTGAATCCTTCAGAGAAGCGTGAAAAACAAAATTATGAGCAACGTATAATCAATGGAATCCTTATAAAGAAAAAATATCCTCACAGGATTGCGCCAACTGATACAAGTGGCCCTGTTTTCTATCTTGATGATTTGGAATAATAGTGCTGAATCAAGAACTTTGTAGCCACGGATGGATCCATGGGAAGCCAGAGCCCTGAGGGCCTAGCCTCCAAAGACGGAGAAATGTCATGAATTTTTTTTTTCCAGGAAATTTAATATATATCTGCCCACTAAAATGCAGAATTTGCTTTGGCTCCAAGAGAGCTTATGAGAGATATTTAGGAAGCCTTCATCTCTATTTAGCTCTCCCAAAACTAGATCCTAGATCAACTCTTTTCCAAAGCATTGGCCATTGAAGTATGATTTTCATAACGAAAAAAGAAAAAAAAGAACTCGAAGATGTTTCAAAATATTACTTGTAATCCAACCATAGTGCTGAGAATAGAAATGTTGTTCATCTGATCATTTAAGACTATCGGCGCTTCCATGGTAAAGGGACCCTTGGCAGCCTTACTTCCATGTGCAGATCCTGAGAGGAAGATTATAACATAGCGAGTGAGTAGAATTACAACATGTTATTGTTTCTTAAAATCAAATCCTTCCACTATATTTTGCTAAGATTTCATATACCACTTCACAGTGCCCGGGGATCTCAATCATTTTTCTTAAAGTGAAGACCTGAGTCACTAAAACTCAGGGTAAATGATAATTCACTTCAGTTTTTATTAGTGATGAACAGTAACTAAAAAAATGATGGAAATATATGATTCCAATAGTGTCTATGTCTTAGAAGCCACTATTCAAATGGGTTAATTCTAGCTTCTTAAGTGAATTTTTACTGAGACGACAAAAAGATTCAAAAAAAGCAACCTGCATATTTGTTGTTGACAAAAGCAGATGCAACATGC